CAATTCTTTGCGATAAATCCGCCGATAACTGTCAGTGAAAGGTTTTAAAAAGGTTGGAAGGATGCAATGGAATTTCAAACAGACATTCATGCTTCCTCCTTCCTGATGATTGTTGGAATTTTCATCTAGTTCCTTCAGCTGATCAAAATGTGAATGAATTTATCCAACCCCAAAGAGGTTTTACAAAATCAAAAACTATTCACCTTTTCATCAGCCATTTGTAAGGAAGCCCTTAGGGGACATACATCCAAACATTTTATTTTACTTAAATTTAATTTCTCAGGTTCTCAAAGATAAAAACTTGAATTAACTTATCATGAGAAACGAGTGTTGTTATCCCGAGATAAATAAGTTGAGATCTCGAGAAAGTTGTCATGGAAAAACGCATGAACCCATGTCCTCTTTGGACTTCTGTGCTTTTGAGATCCCTGTGAGGTTGTTAACACATAACGCAACCCGTTAGGCTATGTCCACATTATATTTCCTCTTTTTGGATCATCATCTTTAGAAATAATCTGTTCAAACAAGCGTTTTAGCACAGTTTAAAAGTTAACCTCTGTCCATGTTACACTCTTAAAAGCACATACCAAACAAAGCAAACTATTCAGACCTTTAAACAGTCATGTCGAAAGCATAACTTTTGTGTAGTTTAAGCCTAATGCCCACACTACTCGAGCATGTTAGCGGCTAGTTTAGACTTAATCTTAAACCATTTTCACACATACGGAAATCTCCTGAAAAACTCCGCAGATTTGGCTACCTGGACGTTCTTTGGTCTATGTGTGAACGCAAACAGCCGCATTTTTCGTGCGGACTTTACCTGGAGTTTCTCCGGCCAGACCCGTAGTATTTTATCCGCAGAAAGTCCGAGTGAGCTGATGTCTGAACGCAGCCGAATATACTCCGGAGATTTTCAATTCAAGCCAATGGGAAGAGAATGATGTTTAAATACAGAGACCGGCTAAAGTGTCTGCCCGCGACCACTACGATCTCCGTGCACGTAATTAAACGGCTGCATTATGTTTTCTGTTCGTCAGTATGTTGTTCTCCTCTCTTTTGTGGATGTTGTCATTCCATTGGATTACACATAGCATTGATATAAAGACAAATATTCTCATTATAGCTTTGTGTAGCGGACTCTGTTGCTTCGGCCGCTACTTCTGCGTTGTTCCTTTACGTCACGTCTTACCTCAGGAAATCGCCCGCGGCCCCTCCTCCCCTCTGACAGGGAAAGTCCCCCGCTGTGAGGAGCACATGTGAACGGCTAGGTCGGGAGAATCTCCGGAGAAGTCCTACTGTAATTATCGAGATATTATCCGGAGTGCATATGTGAAAACGGCTTTAGACAGCATTTGAGAGACTTTTCCTGACCCTGTTTCAGTTTAAAAATCCGAAAGGTGAGATTAATTGTTCATAGGTAACAAAAAAAAAAGTGTTCTGTGCTCTTAATTCTGTTTACTTAACTTTCTCTGGATCAATCTGTCTCGTGTTTTTGTCTCTTCTTTCTTATTCTCATTGCTGTTTGTTTAAATCACTTAGATATTCCTCTTCCTGGTGTTTTTTTTGGCAGCCCCATCTGTCCCTTCGCTCATTATTTTTCTATCTCTTATTTCCTCCCACCTTATTTCTCTTTTCTCCTCCTTTAACTTGTTTCCTATCTGTGCACATCTCTGTATATCTCTCTATTATCTCCGCCCCTCTTCCGCCTGTCTCCTCCATTTTCTCGTTTATCTTCTCCCTCTGTCCATTCCCTCTCTTCCTCGCCCTCCTTTCTGCTTCACCTCCCTTGAACCTTCCTTCTTCTTCTTCTTCTCCTCCTGTCCCTGTAGCATGCTGCCTTCACATCAGTTAGCTTGCTCTCCATTAGCCTGCTAGCTGTGCGTTCTCATCCACGGACAGGTTTCACATGGCATGGTCAGCTAGCTTCAGGCTAACCAAGGCTAACTGTTTTTCCTAGAGGCCCTATGAGTTGGATAACAGTCTCTTTTTCACACACACACAAACACACACAGACACACACACAAACACAGGGTATTGTCATAGCCATGCCACTCATTGTCCGTCAGTGTCCTGCTCTCAGCGTGGACGGTCAACACAGATACTAGTCCATCCTGACATGTCACACAACACTGCAGAACACAACACCTGCAGCAACATTCAAATGATGCGATCATGACACACGACACAGATTGTTTCTGCAGCATGGACCTCAGCCAAGCTTCAAATGTCCAGTGAGACGAAGAGGAGATTTACTGAACCAAACACAGGCAACAACAAAAATCTATGGATCACTGCGTATTTTAAATGTAGCAGATATTTGATTCAAGGACAATTTAGTGTGCATTTGTACCTCTAAATATAATGGAGAAAGATAGAAAAATTGTGTGCACTTAAGAGTAACTCCTGGTCAATAGTAGAAAGTACAAACACTTTGAATTGCTCAGGTAGATTTCTTCAGCCCTCAGCAGTGACACAGGCTGTAATGGCTGTAATCCTTTGGGGAAAATGTCCACTAAAAGTTGTTGTGTTTTCCCCAGACAGACTCAGATTGTTATTATGACAACAGAAATGAGATAGACCTTTTTGTCACAGAATAAGATGCTTTTGGGGCAGAACATTTACTTTCATACTTCGTCAGAGCCACCAGACTCCATTGAGATAGGTCCTGATTTTAAATGCAAGTAGTTTCTACAATGCTTTCTCAATCTATTTCTTTTTGTGTTACACAGTTGTTGTTGTTGTTGTTGTTGTTGTTATGTTGGACTAAATCGTCATTAAAGTTGACGTATTATGCTGATCCCCATTTTAAATCTCACATATAGTGCTTAAATGCTGGAAGCCCATTGTTACGACCAGCCTAGGGGAAACTTTGCCCATACTAAACATGGGCAAAGTTTCAGATCATGAGGTAAACGTATGTTGGAGTAATCAAAGGATAAATCTGGTCACCGATTTTTTCATCAAATCACACCATAGTTCCCGATATGAAGTAAATAATTTCTTCAAGCCTCTATGTAAGCCGTTGAAGGCTCTCTTCTCCAAGCACTGGAGAGCAGCCCTTCACTGGCAGCCCTGCAGCGTTCTGCCCCATAGAGGGCTTCCAGAGAGCTGGCCAATCAGAAGAAAGTGGGCATGTGAGGAGGAGGGCCTTAAAGAGACAGCAGCTGAAACGAACCATTTCTTTTTTTTGACAGTATGTGAACAGCCAGGTCAGGAGAGTCCCCCGGAGCAGTCCTCCTGAAATTATCTAGATATTTTCAGGAGTGCGAAAATGGCTAGAACGTCCTGAATATATATGAATGATTTTACAATGTTGTTTGCACAATAGAAAAAAAATCCCAAATATAGTACACTTCCAGAATAAAAGCGAACTTGGAAAGAAGTGTGAAGTACTTGTTTCAGAATAATTTCAGACCTTCCCAATAATGATAATGGCAACTTAAGAGTTCACTAGTTAGCTAACCTGACACCTTTTTGTTTTGCCTGTTAACTCAGTATTTTTCTTAATTACCACTTTTACATTGATAAGCTCAGCACTTTTTTGTGCAAAAAAACTTCTGTCTCCAGCCTCTCAGGCTCTGCCTCAGACTCTGAGAACAACAATATTTGCAGCACTAAAGACTCAATCTGCTCTTTATTTGGTTTCTGTCTCAGTGATGAGACGGGGACATGATGAAGCCTAATCAGCCTCCATCTTTGTTCTGTTTACATTTTCAGCTCAGAACCGTCTGCAGTTTGAAAAATAAATGTTTTTGCTCTCAGTCAGACAGACTGTATGCTGAAATGGTTATTGAAGGTTATAAGTGACAAGCCTCCATGTTGGATGAGTGACAGGAAAACAAAGAGACAGTGATGTTTTTGCCTCCTCCTCCCTGACAAAACAAAAGCTTCTCACACTTGTCCTCTTTAGCTCAGAGCCCATGGAAAGTTCGGCGACAGAGAGCTCAGGGATATTTATCTGGAAACTGTTACACTGTTCACACGTGTAGAAATTAAACAAAAGCTCACACTGAGTTCTGGACGGGAGGAGGATTCATCCCGGGGCTGGTGGGAGATGCTCATGCAAAGGAACCCAAAATAAGGGTTAGTTTCTAACATAAGAGACTCTGCGGAGTGACCCCCTCCTGAGAGGATCCAGTTGTAGCATTTTACAGAATGGGATGTTTAGGGTGTGTCTTTAAGGACAGTTCTCTATCAGAGGGAGCGAATATCATCCTGTAAAGGGAGAAAACAGGGTCTTTGCAAAATAATGCATACATCTGTACACTTTTTAGGTCATCAACAAGATTTGTTTTACTCATTTGTCTCTCAGGGCTTCCATAGAACTCAGACTTGCAATGCACTTCTTGAATAATCAGCCTCACAGTGGACAGCAAAAAGGTTTAAAAGCGATGTATCTGTACAAAAGTATCACTCAGTAATCCTCACTTTTCTTCAATTAACATACCAGACGCCTACATTACCCACAAAGCAACAAAGCCACCAGCTATTCACCCTAAAATTCATGCCAGAAGGGGTTAATGTAGCCTGCAGCAGATATGAAAAGCATGCAACAGAAGTCTTATTTTCTTTTTTAGGGAAAATGCAAAGTCTCAAATCGTTAAAACAATCTTTCTGAAGCAGTACAGAATAAAAAAACGTTTTGATCGTCAAACTAGAAGATCCAGATAGGAGGCATTACAATATTCCTTGATTTGAAGTACAAATATCAAGCGTTTGTTATGATTTTTTTAAGCAAAAATGAATCCAAAGTGTGAAAGGCTGAGCACTCATTATGTAAAATAAAAACACTACCACATCTTTCTATTCTCAGTTAACTTGCAGACAACCCAGTTTACAATCACAAGCACCACACAGTTTAGAAGCCATCACACAAAACCGCAAATCTTTTTCAACAAGCTTGATCCTTAAATAAAAGGTAGGTCCAGTTCAAACATCCTCAGCCACCATTAAACTTTCCCAGCTTTCAAAAGTTTAACAAAGAGAAAACGTTCACTCACCCTGCGTCGCTGCCGTTCCCACAGATTAAGGCATCCTTGGCGCCCTCCACTTTGTAAAAGTTGTCTAAAAGAAACAAAAAAATGACTCTTTAGATTAAAATCTCTAATGAAGTTTAAACTCAGCTCAGAGTACACTTCCTCCTCCTCTGTCATGATGCTTTTTTTTTTTTTTTTTTTTTTAAAGATTAGTTTTTTGGGCTTTTTGTGCCTTTAATTGAGAGATAGGACAGTGGATAGAGCCGGAAATCGTGGAGAGAGAGAGTGGGGAATGACATGCGAGAAAGAAGCCACAGGCTGGATTCGAACCCGGGTCGCCCGCTTGGAAGACCATAGCCTCCATACACTGTTGAAATGTGCTATATAAATAATCTTGCCTTGCCTTGCCTTACACACCCAGGATCCACCCACACAGGGTTTTTTTTTTAACCTTTCAGTCTGATCAGGGGTGCGTTCAATCTGACAACCTTGTTCTGTTTTGCTAAGATTTTCCGACTGAACAGCGTTTTCCCAGAAATGTTTGCAACAGGTTGTGTGTGATGTGTTAGAGGTTGACCTAAATGAGCAGTGATAAAACACATGTCGCTTCGTAGTAGGAGCTGAACATAGCCCAGCCTTCTGTGGGGATGCAGAAGCTGAACTAGGATACATTCAAAATATTAGATAATAATAAACCACATAAGAGCCACACAATAACAAAATAAAATCAGCAACTCCCACGTTATGCAGCGCTGTACCTAAAAGTCTTTCAGACCCTGCGATATGTAAAAAGAAGAAATAAAAGCTTCAAGTTTAAAAATATTGAAATATTTTTTAAGAAGGTTTAATGTTGTGAACTCTGCATTTAAGATGAAGACTCACAAAACCATTAAACAGAAAGACAGGTTTCTCTTCACATACACACATATTCCAAAACTTTCCTCCTTAATAATCCAAATAACTAAACTTGTAAATGTAAAAGTGTTTCCAGTAAGTTCTGGCAACCCTTTCTGTACTTTCTCTTGCACCACAGAGTCAGTTTGTGTTCATCTCCTCGGCTGTCTGTCCGTGTTACCGCAGGATCGATAAACTCATCAAACTCCGCTTGTTAGACGCCGTCTGAGCAGGAGGCCATAAAACCAAAACCATTAGAGGAATCGCTGTTTGCTGAGCATTTAACACTGAATCTGACCACAAACCACTGACAAGGACATTAATACAGCTAACAGCTCAATATCATTACATGGAGTGTTTCTCCAGCTTGAACACACAGAGGTATAAACGCTTTTTAATGCACGTTAAGGAAGACAATAAGTGCTTCCTCACTTTTACTTTGGTTTTAAAATGCGGTCTTTAATTATGAATGAGGGAGGGTAAAGGAATTTAACCAGCCCTGTTCTAAAGAAAAACTGGTTTCAGATCAGAAACAGGGATAGGTGTTTTAGTAATGGACACAGCTTGCAGAAATCTGTTACTTTGTGGTATTAAAACAATGATGTTCTGGTTAAATAGGGGACAATTTCAGGAGAGCTTTGTATTTGAAAATCAACAAACAAACAAAAAAAGAAGAGTCTAATACATAGTTTAATTAAAAACTGGGCCTCAAGATCAAACGAAAAGATCAGACCCGAGATAACCTGAGATCCAACACTGACCTAGAGATGAACATTTTGGCTTATTATGCCAGTTATTTTTCCTGTTTCTTTTTTCTTTTACTGTCCTTTCATTTCCAACCTTGTCTCTCTGTGTCTTTTCAGTGTCCACAACTGCAACCATTACTCTCCTGCCCCTGATTCCATCATTAGTAAACCCTGTTTGTACGTCTCCTTGACTGCCCTGCTCTCCATCTGGATCGTCTTAAATCTAAGAATTGCCTTAAAACAAAAAGTTGGGCAACTTAGCACTTAGCATAATATGAAAATGAGGATCTAATCAGTGTTAACATGTTCCCTTCTGTGACCCTTTTCCTAAAGAAATCAAACAACATCAGCCTTGATTTGCAGCGTTTATCTCAACATGAAACATGAATTTAAAGGCTCGCCCCTGTCTTTACCACCAGTGTTGGGAGTAACGAGTTGAGCATGTTACTAAATGAGTTACTGTAAACCGTCGTTGTCTAAAAAAGTGCCTTAAAGTGTAAAAAAAGATCTCCTCCTTCTCGTGACTTTTAACATTAGCACGGGGAGTTTGATTGTTTTGTCGTGAGACGCTGTTGCTCTGTGAGTCAACCTTACATAACAGAGTGGAGAACCTGACAGAAATCGGAAGCAACTCTTTCCACTGACACAGTGACCTTAAATTCTGGCTTGACATTTTCATCCATTCGCCTGACGGGAACAAATACTCAGGTTACTAATCTTTTATTCAACACGCAATTCAGACCACATGTATTTAACCGCAGCCATTATGACCGATTACACAGAGTGCAGATAGAAAAATATTAACACGGCCATCATGTTCTTATCACACTAAATGCACTCTGGGAGACGAAATGAAGCTGCTGCACTTCTGTGAAACAAAGTTGAAGCACTTTTCAGTCAAACCACAGCTCGTCAGAGGAAAACAAAGCATTTCAAAGTTTCAAAGTCTGCAGAGAAAAAAAACAAAGCCTTGTTCTTCTTCTATGCTTTATTGTGGCTGTACATGTGCAAAGTTTCCGCCTTTTGACAAACAAAACGGGTTCTCTGGTGCTTCTGACCACGTCTGACCGCCGCTGCACCAAAGGCACTTAAGCCTTTTTAGGAGCGCGGCCATTCATTTGTTATCGAGTGCATCAGGGAGGCTGCATCCCTGCTCGCCAAACAAAAACTTCTGAAGTCTGGAGTGCTTTTGTTCACCAACTCAAAGTAACCACAAGGCTGTTAGGCAGCTCTGGGATTAGTCACTGAGGCTTTTTCTCCCCACACAAAGCACATAGGAACAGTCTAGTTGTTACCTGAAACTTCAGGTGTCCAAAAGTCTCCTTAAATACATGCATATTAGTCCACAGACTGACATTTAATAGAGGGTTTTTCAGAGCGACCCCCATCTGAGAAGATTGTTACAGAGCTGCAGAAACCAGGAAAATTGTCTCCATGGGATGTCGAGAGAGTGGGCTTAATTTCATTTCTTTTCAAACTCGAGAGCAGCAAATTACTCTGACAAGCCTGAATACATCTCCACCTCCCCATCGCGCATTTTCACCTGCGAGAAAATTCATTTACATGATGGAAATCTGCAGGAACATGACAGAGAATTATAGGTCAAAGTGAAATATGCTGAGACACATAGGAACACATTGAAGAGGAATTCTGGTACTTTTAAACCTGGGCCTTAGTTTGTTTTTTTTTTTCATTACATATTTTCAGCCACAATATGTAAAAAATATAGAAAGTTTTGGAACTGCTCTAATACAGTGGTTCTCAACTGGTGGGTCAAGACCCACAAGTAGTTTGCGGAGCCTTTGTAGTGGGTCATGAATGTATGCCTGCTATTTGCTGCTTTTTAAACTTTTGTTTTTTTCCGTTTCTTTGTCACATGTTGTGTACCATTTGGGGTCCAAACTGCGAATTTTCCTGAAATCAATCTGATTGGTTAGAATCTGATTTAGACGGTTTATACAAAAAGACTTACTTGTCATTGTATTTATTTGATGCTTTATTCAAAAAAGAAATGAAGAAGGAACGAGGACCAAATAAAGATAATATGTTGTTGCCAGGTAAAGTCAAGTCACACACATACTGCTAATAAACAAATTCAATATGAGGAGTTTTCTGCTTTAGCCGACGAGCACAGCTCCAATCTTTCGATCGTCTGCTGCTGTTGGTCGGCTCTGAGCAGACAGACACTCGGCATGATGGGAAATGTTTAGCATGGACAACATCCAGCATTGATCTCTAACTGAGGGCTGTTTTCTGATCAGCCTGACGGGACGGGCTTCATCGCCGCGGCTCGGCTCTCAGGTTTCACGGCAGCCTTTTAAAGGTCGATACGGGAGCCTGCAGGGGACACGTTTGATGTGATGGATGGCAAAGCAAACTGGAAAAGAATAAATAGAAGCAACATTGGGAGAAGGAGCAGCACGTCCCGACAAAGCTTCATTACTGTAAGCTGTAAGTTCTATTTATTTTTAGCGGTTTCCCCCTTTAACTCCTGACTTTTTTTATCAGAGCAGGCCTTCTTTCGCCCTCCTCCTCCTCCTTACTGCTACATTATTACTTTAAATAATGGCACATCTGGATTTGGATAATGAGGGAGTCTGTTTGTCCTGGATTTTAATTCTAGGGGGAATTCTTCTGTTTTTGATGGAGCGTGAATCTACTCCCTCTGCTCCAAACCTGACAGAAATGTTTTTAAAACACGTTCATAAACTTCAGCTGGTTTGTGTTTTTTTGTGTTTGTAGTTTTTACTTTACTTGAAGGGATAATGGTTAAATACATTGTTTACACTTGGATTTTAGAGTCCGGCAAATCAGGTAAGTTAGTTGGTGTCATGGGGGCCAGATCCACAAAAGGATTGCGCTGCTTCTGTGGGGGCTAAACCTGTGAGAGAAAAAGATAGCATGGAGTCCACAAAGCAAGAGTCAACGACTGAGCCACATCCGACAAATGGGCGAATGGTATTTGGTGGCTTTGAGAAATGTAATGTTGAAATCATACAAGTGAAAGCTTGACAAAGAGCAACACATATTTTAGTGACAAAATAAAAAATAATCAAATAAGATAAAGAGTAAATAGGACATTTAGACAAAAAATAATTCAAAGAGACGGGGAAATTATGAAAACGTAAAATGAAATAATATTTGAGAGAAAAGACATGGGTCATCAGTGACAGAGAATAAAGACATAATAAATAATAACGCAAAGAATATATAAGAGAGAAAATATTTAAAGGAGGTAATAAGCCATGTCTTTCTACTTGTTTCTTCCATGGATGATTTGCTGTGTTCACAATAAGTGTGTCTCTGTGCGTGGGTAAGTGTGTGTGTGTGTGTGTGTGTGTGTGTGTGTCTCTGTGCGTGTATGTGTGTCTCTGTACGTGTATGTGTGCGTGTATGTGTGTGTGTGTGTCTGTGTCTGTGTGTCTGTGTATTTGATTAATGTACAGTGACACACGGGCAGTCCAGTGTTTTGGTTTCATGGAGAGAAAAAGACAACATGCAGCTCAGGTTTCATCCGACAGCAGCGTTAAGTGTTTCCTTAACCCTGACCTCGACCTGAGTGTGTGTGTGTGTGTGTGTGTATGTGAGATTGTGTGTGTGTGTGTGTGTGTGTGTGTGTGTGTGTGGCCTTACGTCCACATATTATGTACCTGGTCAACATGCCTGACATGTCAAATTGTGTATATACCAGCTGACCTCGCTTGACCTCTGTGTGTCAGTTAGTGTGTCAATCTGTAGTGTGTGTGTATGTGTTTGTGTGTGTGCATGTCTGTACACACATCACACCCCTGACAGCGTGTGCATGTGTGTCTTTATTGATGTCAGTTGTAACCACAGTGCCAACATGGTATTGTCCAGTCTGATAAAGAAACCAGCACACAAGCCCCGGAACACACATTACCAGCTACTCACATGAAGAAATGTAAAATGTTATACCTGAAAACTAAAATAGTTTTCGAAAAAAAATGTGTACATTTTGTTTATTTTTTGTGTTTTGCTAAATGTTTGGCTGAAAACCTGTTTACTTTCTTGTCTGATATTAATTGCATAGAACAAACCCATTGATGTCAGGAATGTTAATTCATTTTTAAATCCTTTGACTGTTATTTTTCCAAAAACTACAGTTTCATGACTTCCTTCACTCAAAATTTCTCAACATAAACTTATCTCTCCCCAAAACAAGCGAAATGCAATCAAATCACAAGCTGGTATTAAATGTTTGTAGATCTTCACATGGAAGAAAAAAGTTGACGCAGCAACCAACCTTTATTGTGAAGATCACCAAAAATTAAACTAATTAAAAAAACAAATTCTGTCAGTTGCTCGTCAGTTGCTCAGTCACTTGGTTCAATTCTTGTAAAAGCCCCTCTACCCTCAAAAACAAAATAAAGGTTGAGCGGATGCACATATTCCTATCAAAAGCATTAGTTCAGAGTTTGTTTCTCACCCTCGTCGTTGACGAAGTCCTTCAAGGAGGCCCACGTCTTGTTGTTGCAGACGAACGAGGTGTTGGTCGGCAGGGTGTCGTTGAAGCAGTGCGCTGTGCTGCGGACACATTTCTGCCGCAGGTTTCCCATGAAGAGCTGCAGGCCGATGAGGGCGAAGACGCTCAGACAGAAAACGGCGAAGACTCATCAGACAGTCGGTGCGATAGCAAGGGCAACAACTGCATAGAGAAAAAATCACTCTTTAAATGACGGAAATAATTCAAAGTCTTGTTTAGTTACTTTGGATTTAAGGCTGCCCTTTTAAAAGATGAGCATTTGAATCGTTAGTCGAAAGAGTCGTCGACACATTTTGTCAGTCGAATTCCTGAAATTTTGAAACTTCTGAGCTGCACTGCATGAGCCACAATATGTCAAGCTGTAAACTTACTTAGAAAAAAAGACTATTCATCTTCACTTTTAACAAGATTGTTTGTAGGAAACAAAGTACATTTTGTAGGAAACTAAGTTAAATAAGAATAACATTCAGTGTCTTTGGGGGCTGTGAGCCGAGCTGCTGCTAACTTAGCTCATAAACTCCCAATCAATCTCCATTTACTGATATTTTTTAGCATTGGCAAGTTCATTTATAACACTGAGAAATAAATATTTTTGAAATGTTTTCATGTCTGGCAAACACGGGATGTCAGTGGGAGCTATGAGCTGAGCTGTTGTTAGCTCATTCCTTTATCATTCACAGTTTACATGTTTTACCAGGAGCCACATTTTCTTCCAAAAACAATCAGATCCACTGTTTTTACAACCATTAAAACGCTGAAAAGAGAAGTGTTGTGTTAAAATGTATGGTCTTCCATTTTCTCCAGCAGAATTTGGGGGCTGCAGGCTGAGCTACCATTAAGCAAATGAGCTGAGTAAATTTTCTCAGGTAAATGAAATTGTAAAAAGTGACTGTGACATCACTTTAAAAAAACAGGAAGATAATCACATGGAAAAGTTTTAATGTGTCAAGTTTTTACATGGCAGATAACGACTTTGTGTATTTAAAGCTGCGTATTCATATGAGGAAATCTTGATTCGACTGACAAAATTCTGAGTCTTTAACACGCATATATATGTAGTCTTCTTCCATTTGAAACAAGCTACAAACTTTCAAACTAAAGGGCAGCCATCTTTTTGCACCATAGTTACTTAGAGGACATTAATAACAAAAAACACATTCAAAGAAAATGAATATTACAGGCAATAGAAATAACTCTGCTGTGAGGAGAAAATCTCTCAATTTCAGGTGTTGTATAATGACTCATGCTGAAAAAAGTGTATATCTTGTTTTTTTTTTCCTGCTTTTTTGAAATATGGATGTTTTCATCTGACAGCAGCTTTACATTTTTTGCAAAATACTGTGAAAAAAAAGTCATCATTAAAATCACCAACAAACTAAAGAAAAAACAGGCTGCAAACTTGCCATTCAAATACAGATAAAAACACACAAACACACACACTAACACGGAGAGGAACATATGGTAAAAACAGCAGGACCAAAACACACTCAGAACACAAAGGGTGCAGACAAGTTGACAATCCTCGGCCGATCCCACCAATCAAAGAAACAACCAGGTTTTCTCTAAAGTTAATTCATTAGAAACAGACGCGACACACTTTTCATCAGCGTCCAAAGAGTCTCTTTTGTCATGCTGGCTCGTAGGCTCAGCATTGTTCTGGTTCATATTGTAGCGTCTGTAGGCTAATGAATGAGCAGTGTGAAAAAAATATCATTTGTAAGAGCTGCATTTACGACATGCTTTCAATGTTTCTGCTGCTGAGATGAAGTTATAACACGTATCAGACATTGTTATAACCAGCTACGTCAGCATTAATATGTTGAAATAATATGTTGAAAAGAAAGAAGTTGTTAGCGCTGCATGCTAACATGCACAGTGGAAACATACAGAGGCTAGCCAGCAACAGATCTGAAGAAATAGTTCCATCTTTGAACTTCAATTATTAGTTTATTATTTTCTGAACCAGGTTTTTTTTTAGGAGAAATACCTGTTTTCACAACAACTAAATATTTTCTTCTCTTAATGAACAATGAAATAATTCAAACATTAGCTAGATTCAGGTTAGCATCGCTGCTCAGACGTAAGATCAGAACAGTCATTACAGACAGAGCTTGGCACATGACAATTAATCTCTTAAACGGTCATTATCGCATGTCATGTTTTATTAACTTTTTATGTGGACATTATTTAAAAAAAAATGGTTATCTGATCATTTAGCTTCTGGTAGGTTTGTTTCTGTTAAGGATATTTTTTGTTGCTTGAATCCACTTTAGCCAGATCAAGTCAGGTGACCTATTTTGCTCACGACTCTCAAAAGAGACGAGACTGCTGACCCTGTTGTTCTTCCTTTTCTAATAACTACGACACCATAATGTGACCATGGCGGGAAGAGAAAGAAAGTCCTGTTTCTATTCAGGCTCTCATTGGCTAAAGATGCCTCGGAATAGTGAATGAAAGGTCCTGATTGGTCAAATGAGGTGTCAATCGACTGGTCAGAGGGCATGAATTAGTGTAGAGAATACAGTTGAAAATTGGGAAACCCTGCAGAAATTTTGAAGCAATCCATGGATCTTTATGGATGTTACATGTTTGTATTAAATATTTTTAACAGATTTGGATCTTGATGACCCTTTCTGATAGAGTAGGACTGTTTTTGTTGGAATATTATGACCAGAAGAGTACAGTAGACCTTCAGACAGAAGGGGAAAATATGCTTCTACTAAAAAGCGTTGAATCATTTTTATTAGCTTAAACTCTTACTTGTTTTATTTGGATTTTATATTGTTTTCTTCTGCCTGTGTCTCTAGGGCACTTTGCTCATCTTATGTTGTTTCAAATAGACATACATTTGTATTGACTTGTACTTCCGGAAAAACAGAACCAAAACAGTTGTAACTAGTTTTAAAAAGCATTTTGGTCATTAACACAAACGGAAATATTTAAACCAAATTGGCCTCAGTTTTATATTCAAAATGTGAATCAGTAAGAATTTTAATGAGCCGTTTTCTCTCCTCTTTTATTGTGTGAATTTTTAAAGGTAAATAGTGAAGTTGCTTTTTGCTGAGCCTCTGATGTCCACTCAAAGCTGATATCAGCAAGACTGTAGCGTTTATTTCTGCAGACCACCTATGCACACAAAAAATGTGTGTAAAGCATTCAGTAGGTGGTATGCAGAATGAGATCTCAAACAGAGCCCATGATTCAGAGCTTCCAGAAGGCTCCGGCTGAGAGGGGAGCGTTCGGTATTCACTCCCCTTGTGTTGGCGTCCTCACCTGGGATGACAGAGATGGTTTTGAGCGCTCGCAGTACCCTGAACGTCCTTAAGGCTGACACATTACCCAGGTCCACAAACTCAGTCACATATCTGCAACAGGCCGGGAGACAGAAGCACAAGAACAGACACACACAGAGGGGTATGACCACACTGAGCAACAACGAGCCAGCACAGAGGGAGAGAAGAAGAAGACTGGAGATACAGAGAGAGAAAGAGATACAGCAGAGACAGGCCGGGTTGGACGGCAACACTGGAGGTTCAAGCCAAACATCAACTTCATAAGAAGGGGAAATCTGATGGTCAAAGCTGCTCGCATGGATATTAAACTGGAGAAAAAAAATCTATCTTGATAGTTCAACGTTTCCAAAGCAACATCAAAACAGATCCTTAAAGTTAAATTGATTTTTTTCACATGATTTACCCCACTAATTATCTTTGCAATTATAAAGCAACATTATCTAGGAATTTGGTTTGGTGCACTTTGGCGCCCACCAAAGGACATGAGTGCAACTGCACTGTAGTAAGCGACACATAGAGCTGTAACACCTTCCCCCGCGGACAACGTGTATTTGTTGACAAGCAGAGTGTAGCTTAAGAACCATGTCAACGTACAAGGTTCAGTAATATTACCGGATTTACTCTGCTACCGCCTACAGCCCGTTGTTTGAGACAAACTTGGGTTGAATGACTTTCTGCACCAGGTAAAGCTGCTAAACATAAGACAACGATGACACTGATCACCATACAGTCTAACTTTGTGTCAAAATCTGTTGTGAATAATTCCCAAAGTGGTGTGCACTCTGCTGGAGAATTGTTGCTTTCCCATTAGCTACAAGACACAACAGATGATAAACCTACTAGCTGGTCCATTGTGTACCAGTTTGCAACCATCCAACAGCAACATAAGCAGCTCTACGTTGATCTTGCAGCCTACTGTTTTACAGAGCTCTCTCCCAAATAGAAAAAACCTTTCCAATATTCACTCTAGTCCAGCTTCTTGCTCGGTTACTCTCTCTTTTTCTCTGCAAAGTAAATGTGTTTCATTTGAATCTCCAGTTAAGTTTCATGTGTTCAGCTTTATTCATCGGACTTTTCCTTCTTTACATGTCTTCAGTTCAGACCAGGTGATTACACCTCAGACCCCTGATTGGCTAAAGAATGGGGAGTGGGCGGGGTTGGTACTGCAGGACATGGCAGACACTGGACGAACAATAGAGGACGTTCACGACGAAAGTCACGACGACGAGTGTTTGTTTATTTATTTTCGTCCCTTGTCGCCCCCTGGTGGTGGTGGTGAGGCCTTACCTGGGATGACTGAGATAGTTTTCAGGGCTCTCAGCACTCTAAAGGTTCTCAGCGCCTGCAGGTTCCCTACTTTGATAAACTCTGTTAACAGCCTGTAGAGGGCAGTGTGGTGGTTGTCAACATACAACACAAGGAGAAAAACATAACAAAGTCTGAAAATACTGCAGTGAATTTATAGTCCAACCCTGACTTGTCAGAGCACAAACAAAACAAAAAAAAGTGTATGAATTTGAGATCAGTTTTAAAACATTGAAAAGTTAGTGTCAGTATGTTTGGGGGTTTCATTTAAGCGTGGCTCACACTGCAGGATAATCGGGTCGATTTGAGCCTTGATTCTTCCTTCCCGACAATCGCAGGATCTCTCCCGACTCAAGGCTGCTCAGAACCGATTATCTTGTAGTGTGAGTGGTACAAAGATCCAATCTTAACGTCCCAGACCTGACCGGCGATCGTTGGGGATGCCCCGATTTATTTCAAACATGTTTGATATTTAGAATTAGGGTCCGGCAGAAGTTGTGTGTGACTGCTCACAAGAGACAAGGGAGGAATGTAGTCATGGCGACCAGCGGCAGGAGGCAACCCGGTGTTTTTTTTTTTTTTTTGGTACAGATCATCAGTGCAGCACTTTTCTGAAACTTGTATCCATATATCTACGATTGTATCTACTTTCCTTTATTCTACAACAATTTCCACTACCTTCTCTTTCACCAACCGCCGTCAGTTGGAGTTTTCAAATGAAACTTTATTAACAACGGTCATTGCTCTGTTCCGATTTCACTCATACAGTGTGAGCTCTCCGGCCATGTCCGACAATCGGGTCGTACAGTGTGAGCACATAAATCTCAAGGTCTGGTCGGGCGTCGTAAACGATTCAGTCGTACAGTGTGAGCTGACATGCCACCCCGACTTTTATACAATCGGGGATATATCGCACAGTGTGAGCCAGGCTTTAGGGAATTATTTTTCTAATATATTTGAAGAGATTTTTTATCAATCGAAAAAATGTTGTGTCATTTTGTGGTTTTCATTATTGTTTGTTATTTGAACAAAAATAATTTAAAACTCTAATCTTTGTTTGTAGCTAATATGGAGAAAGGGATCAGCTGTATATTTATACAGAGGAACAAATAACAGGTTTTTACTGTCTAATATAAGTCGTCTTTATCTTGTAGTATGGTGGCTTATAAGTCTCTGAAAATTGTTCTTAAGAAATTAGAAAATATTTTCTAGAATTTAGATGAAGACAAATGTATTTTACTCTGTGTTTTCAAGCGATAACAAGCAAATGTATCTTGTTTCCTGTAGACATCCAGGAAGTGACTTGTTATCACGGGAAAACTGAAAACTTGAGATCTAAAAAAAACCAGTAATTACGTGGTTTCACAAGTAAAATAAAATGTATGTATGTCCCTTTAGGGCTTCTGTAGAACACCAAGAGGATATCAAAGGGCGTTTAAATTTATTTGAATGTATTTAATAAATCAAAATAAAGAACATTATCATATATCCAATTTACATGTTAATTGAAAATAAAGCAGTGATATCTGTTCAATCCAGACATGATTGAAAACAATAAAAACTCCATAAAAAAGCAATTACTTCCCAAAACAAACTGTCTATAATGAGTTTCAATTAGATGACAGTTTTGTACCCAGCCTGCCCGTGAGCGTCTCACTCCCTCAACCCCCTGCCTAAAATCGAATCAGCCGAGGCCATGAGAGGCAGAAGGGCGCCGGGCGACGACCGCTCTTTTGGGTCCCCTGTAAGATTGAGTCATCTGATCCTGAGCTGCTAACGGCCCGCCATTACGGCTCATATTTCACCAGCGCTGACTGGCAGGCTGATTGAATTACAGTGGAGGCGGAGGGTGGGAGTACGGCGGTCAGAGCAGGCCGTTTCCATGCAGGTAGAGACAACCAGGCGATAAAACCAGAGACACTTCACACCGGAGAGGGCAAGACGTCAGTGCTCGCCATGTGTCCATATCCAGCAAATGTTGTGTTCATTCTTGTTTATAATGGATGTTTTAAATATTTGAATGGGTCAGTTGGTAAAAAAGTTCTCTCTGTTTTTTTTATGATAGAAAAATAATTATAAGAAAATAATTTACACTACAAAGGGAAATCGAATTGGTTTAACACATCCTCAGCCGAGAAATCTCCTTCCTAAACTCGACTCAATGATACAAAAAATACAAGAGGCGAATGTGTTCGGCTTATGCAGGTGAAGCTTTTGTAGTTTCATAATCTTTCATTTTAAAGTCTTCTGGGGGATTATCACAACAGACTGAAGAAGTGTCTGTAATCACTATCACTAGGATCTCTTGTAATTGTGTCGTTTTATCCACAAAGTAATTTATGTTGTTTTTAATTCCACCAATGTTTTAAGTTTTTCTTCATTTATTCTGTAGATCTTCCTTTTTTATTCCCTCATTGTTGTTTTTGTAAAGCACTTTGTAACGTTGGTTTTGATAAATGTTATACTAACAACTTCATCAACTCATTATTAACGTTGCAGTGAATCTTGACCTATTCAAAATTTCTACTATTCTGTATTTGTGCTGGCTCTGAAATATTTGGCTCTCTGTTGTTTTATTTATTCAAACCAAAAGTGCTTATTCATTGTTCACGCTTATTAATAACACCTAAGGAATATTTGCCTGACACATTTGGGCTTAAAGATGGAGGTGGACTCAGCTGGGTTAATCCCTTCCTCCTCCATGAACTGAGTCCGGCTGAACTTTCCTGCTGCGTCCATTTACAGGGACCTGTTTGATGGACTGCTAGCTAGGGTCAGTACCAGAATTCCTCTGATGGGCACCATCTAACAGCGTTCTGTTTCATCTGTGACACTTCTGTCCATCAGTCTCCACTGAGTGACAGTTTGACTGAATCTAGAAAGTCACACATCGACTCAAATCTGTCTTACTGCAGCACTGTGAATAAACAGATTTAGTGAGATTTAATGAGGACAAACTGGCTAAAAGGATGCTGAATTCAATTACAGTATGAAGAAGATATGTACACAGTTTGAAATACTCCTTTGTCATGTTTCTTTGCACAAAAACAAGCAAAGAAATGGACCATCTATTTATGAAGCAACTGTTGGCGTCAGGAGAGACTGAACTCTGAGAGGCAATTGTCCTTTCGAGTTGAAAAAGTTCATGTTATGCTGTTATGATCCCTGTAATGGCTAAAGGACGAGTGGAGAAACAATAAAAAATAAAACTAAAGTTTAGTTGTAATTTTTATTCATGTGAAACGTGCAATATAAAGAAATTTTTACTGTATTTAGAAACTCACAAATCAGCTGAATTAATCGGTCTTAAAACACTATGAAGCCAAAATAAACATCTGTTACTGTAATTTTAATCATATATGATCAGTCAGGTCTGTTTAATAATGTTAAACATGTTTGTTTTGTTAATGGAGTTTTGAATGGCTAAATGGCTTCTAATGCAGCATCACCATGTGAGCAATATTTTTACTTGTGAAAAAAAGCTTCTTGTGCTGGCGTCCACAATTAAGATGCTAGAAATGAGAGAGAGATTAATGAGCATTATTGTAATGCTCTTGTACAGGCAGGTTCCTACCTTACATCCAACCACAAATACTTGTTAAATTGAGTTGTTTCAAATCGGATTCAGTGCCAAACCTGATCGATTATGCTTTAGTATAACAGGGTCATATTTATTTTTTTAATGAGGATTTGCCGATGAGATTATGAAGATAAAAAGATAAGAGCTGTTGCACCTTTAAAGCTGTGAAAGTAGCTGACGAGTCTGC